TCTACCATTATATTCATTTTTTAGTAATGCTGTTTGTTCCTTTGTTCTGCATGCCTTCATGTGTTGAGTTTCTGTTTTTTGTGCTATTTATTGTTGGTTCTATTTATCTAATAGCACAAAATTGTTTGTGCTATTTATCTTCGCTTTCAAATTTGCTTTTTCTGCTTGGAAGTTCATTTTCATGGTAAATTGTGAAGTATTAACTTTCTTTGGGGTTACCTTTTAGTCTATTAACTTTTCTCCCCATTAAGAGGATCTAGTGTATCCTGTAATCTACCTGACATCCTCACCACCTGGGTCTCTGTTCCTACATTTATTCCTTCTTTGACATTGATATTATTTTAATCTTTGGCTGACATCCCAGCTCATTTGAGTTCGTTTTTGTAATTTTGTTCTATTCTGAACTCTTGAGTCCCATGTGGTGTTGCCATGCCTGTCAATCTCTGGTTGTTTTCTATTCTTGTTGTTTTTTCAGTCCAAAGAACTCCCTTTTGGATGTTTTGAAGTGCTAATTGTTTTTGAGAATATCTCTTGCTTCTGTGTATCCTGGAATGGTTTGATTGCACCATTGTATTTGATTGATAGTTTTGTTGAATAGACAATTCTTGGTTGGCTGGTTGCTTTTTTTTTTTTTTAGAATTTTGTGTGTGCCTTCTGCCTGCATGGTTTGTGCTGAATAGTAAGAGCTTAATCTCATTTGCTTGCCTTTTTAAGTGACTCTTTTCTCCCTGGCTGCTTTTAGGATTCTCTCCTTGTCTTTGATTATGAAGAGGTTAATTACTATATCTCTTGCTGACTTTCTTTTGCTGTCTATCCTTCCTGGGGTACATTTGGCTTCTTGAATGTTTATATTCTCATCTTTCAAGATGTTAGGGAAATTTTCTTCCAGAAGCTCTTCAACTATCTCCTCTCTGGACTTCTGTGATTCTTCCTGTTCCAGAATGGCAATAATTCTTAATTTGTTCCTCTTCTTGTTATCCAGAATAAATCTTAGACTCTCTTCAGGTCTTTTTTATCCTTTTTTCTGCTTGCTCTTCTATCTTAGCAGTATTGAGAGATTAGTCTTCCATCTCACTAGTTCTGTTTTCCATCTCTTCTATTCTCCTCCTTTCCCCTTTCAGTGTATTGTCCATTTCTAATAATTTTTTTTATTAATCATCTGGACCTCTTTTTGCAGATTTTGAATTGTTTCCAATGCTGTATCAATCTTGTTTGATTGCTCTTGTTGTATTTTCCTGATTTCTATCTTGTTTTTCTCCACCCCTTTTCAGAGCATTTGAATTTGTTTCCATATCATTCTTCTGATTTCCTTCTCAGGCAAATCCAAAACCTGTTCTTCCTCTACTGGCGAACCTTTGTCTGTCTCTAGTGCATTTGTCCCAGTTACTCTTTTTTGTTTTTGGGCATGTTTTGAGATCGTTTATTGTGTTTGAGATATTTTGTCATTTCCAGTACTTATGTGGGTTTTTTAATGCTTAGATGGATGTTTGTTGTTGTGTTATTAAGCTTACTGGTTGTCTCCTGGTGGATATGATCAGAAGATAGGCTTCCCTTTTCACATGTAATGTTTAACAGTTGTCATTGGGTCTTGTATCAGTGGTGGAATATTATGGTTTAGCCTTGTTGCTTGACTATATTGCTATGATTGCTGTCTCTTCTTGAGTACCGTTGGAAGAAAAATCTCCCACCTCCAGGAAAAATGTGTGATCAAAAGCAGATGCAATGCAGAAGCAGAGACCAAAATCTTCACTTTGAAACCAAAATAAAAATGTGGTTGACTGTCCAGTTGCCTTGATACACAGGCAGTGTGTTCACACCATAGAAGCCTCCAGCAGTCGATGGGGGTGTCCCCTTACTCAGGCCCCTCCTCTAGTCACCATCGTGGAGTTGCACAGATAGACATTGAGAAGTTAATGGTAGAAAGATTGCCTACTATTTTTGTCTCTGAAGGTCAGTTAAGTATCTGTGTGTGCACAGCATAATTTTTGAGATAGTTGCATCCTTTTATGTTGGGGTTTTACATATTGTTCTATGGTTTGTCTGTCAAGCCGGATTGGCCTGCTTTTTTTCTTGCTAGATAGGCCTGCGTCTCCAAGGCTGATGTCATAAGCAGCTGCCAAGCTCTTTCTCTTTGTACCGTGGGAAAACTGTGGGGTCAGCACTGGACTTTTTTGCGGGGAGGGGTGTGCACCCACCCACCTGAAGACATCTGGGCTGGGCAAAGAAGGCGCGACAGGAAAGAGGAGGAAAAAATGTGTAGAATCCCCTACACCTCCTTTTGCAAATGTCACTGCACCACTTTTAGCACCAGTTCCCTGTGCCAGACTGGCTCTAGCTCCACCTTCTGAACTCCATCCGGGTAGGTTGGCCACAGAGGGAGTCCTGACTTAAGTCATTCCTAACTCACAGTATTTCCCTTTATATCATGATTTTTTTCACTTGCTCATGTGGGAAACTGACATCCTGATTCTTATGGTAGATCCAGAGCTCTGGTGTTGTTCTATGAGAGCAGCTTCTCTGGGTTTTCAACCCCTCCCCTATGGAGCCTTTCCTACCTGGATGTCTCTGCTGCCACCCAATCCAGAAGCTCCCCACATGTAGTACACATATATTTTTGCAATTGAAAAATGCGGTGTAGCTTCCAGTTAAATTTGCATGCATGCCCCTTCAAGAATCAAAACCTATATGTTTATATTTTTGTTTTCACACCATTTAAAAAGTTGTTGTGTCTATAGTCCAGCTTTGTGCTCTGCTTCAAGGAATTTTATTGGTTGAAGGATACATGGGTCACTGAAAGTGTTTCTAACTTGAGAAATTCTTATTTTTTAAACTTTGTGCATTTTTACAAAAATTACAAGACTTCATTAAGTAAAGTAGCTTAGTTTGAGGTGTTGTCATGCACCTTCTTCATGCACTGATGTTGGAGCCCAAAGAGAGGGAAGTAACTGAGTTTGTTTGGTTACATCCCAGAGATTGCTTATCTGTAGCACATTTTCTTTACAGATGCCAAAATAATATCCTTCTTTTATTGTAGAGGAAATTTTCAATCTGGTTCATATCACAGATAAAATATTATCAACCGGAACTCAAATAGATTGCCATGTATACAGACTCCATGAAGCATCTTAACAGACATAATTTATTTTAATGTCTTTTTATCTGATGTTAAGAAAGAATCTTATTGTAATAATGAAATTTAGGAAATTATCATATAAAACTATTAGACAAGACACAGCTTTTTTTTTTTTTTTTTGCACAATTGTTGTTGTTGTTAATTGCTGACAAGTCAGTAACAATTTATAGTGATGCTGTATAGGGTTTCTGAGGAGCAGCTGGTGTGTTCAAACTTGCAACCTTGTGGTTCACAGTCCAGTACTGATCCTACAGCACCATATCAGGAGTCCAAGATAGCCACTTGTGGCCCTTGTTATTGTTAAGTACCATTGAGTCAGTTTCAACTCATAGCCACTCTGTATAGGGTTTCTGAGGTTTTAAATTTCTAGAGCAGAAAGCCTCATCTTTCTCCTGTGGACAGGCTGGAGGCTCAAACCACAGATCTTGTGGATCATAGTCCAGTGCTTACCATATGGAGTCAACACAGTCCCCATGACTCATACAAGAAGATAATAAAAATTCAATGAAATAATGAATGAAAAGCTCTGATACAATACCTGACATACTGTATGTACTAAAAGAAAACAAGTGATAAACTTTAAAAATTCATAATTTTAATGGGTTACTTCTTTATATTATTGAAACTTTATTCTGTGTATATTAGCATTTGTGTAGACTAGTGATAAAATTTCCAAATTATTTTTCTGTTTAGGAATTTGACATACATACCAAGAATGTATTATCTGTATCGTCCAATGCCAGCAGAGTAGGAATCAGCTTCTAAGAACCTGATTATGATGCAATAAGGTCACACATAGTAGTGAAAGAAACTCTGCTTCCTTTAAGGGACCTAACATAAATACAAAATGGGATAATAAGGTGGTTACATAGATTTGGTAAGATTCCAGTTTTGAAAAGGCATTCTTTCTTATTCCATAACCTAAGAATTGACTGTGTCCACTAATAGGTAATATTTTTCTCATTAGAAATAGGCCTAAAAATAAAAAATAACATTGGAAACGATCCAAATGCCCATCAACTGGTAAATGGTTAAACAAAATGTAACCTATCTGTATGATGGAATACTATACAGCAGTAAAAAGAAGTAACAAGCTACTGATGCATGCCATAGTATAGATGAACCACAAAATCATTATGCTAAGTTAAAGAAGCCAGATACAAAAATACCACATGTTATGTGATTCCATTTATAGAAATATTTAGTAAAAGCAAATCTGTGAGACAGAACTACATTAGTGGTTTCCTAAGAATGGGGTGGAAAAGAGGATTAACTGTAAATAGGCATGAAAGATCTTCATGAAGAGAAGGAGATGATGGTTATACAGCTCCATAAATCTACTATAAATAATTAATTCATACATTTAAAATAGGCAAATTTTATAATTATAATTAAAAAAAATACATTTGTTTAAAACAGTGAAGATAAATAGATAAGAGAGAGCAAGGGAAAATATTGGAGACAAAGCAGTTTATAATTTTCAGGATGTAATTAGGCTACTTACTTTTTAAATATCTACAAATATAAATGTCAGTTATACATATGTGTGTGTGTTATATACATATATGCATATGTATATACTTGTGTGTATAAACATGTGTGTATATATATTAAATGTTTTTTTCTAATTTTGTTCTTCTTTAGCAGTAAATGCTGTTCCAATTTCAGTCCTTTTTGCCATAACACTTTAGAGAGATTACAGGCATCTAGAGAATACAAATTACCTTTGATTATGAATATTCCATCATTTACATGTTAGAAACAAAATCTTTAATACTTTCTGTTTGTGGTGAGGCAACATAGTGAAACACCTGGGCTGTTATGAGTATACTTTCTGATTTTAACTTTTTATTTATTTATTTTTCAGAAGAGGTGCCAGTTCAAATTCCAATGGTGAAGCCACCCTTGGGCAAGATCCAATTGACTCCTGGGCAAGCATTGCCTCCAGGGTTCCCTGGACCATTCATTTTTGCTGATAGTCTGTCCTCCGTGGAGACACTGTTGACCAACATTCAGGTCAACAATAGTTCTATAAACAAAATACATATGTTATAAGACATTAGCACCTACATAACTTATTTTGCATTTGATAAATTAAGACAGATAAGATGACCTTCATAGCTTTTGTTGTCTTTGACAGGGTCTGCTGAAAGTGGCTTTGGATAATGCTCGCCTCCAGGAGAAGCAGACTCTGCAGGAAAAGAAAGAATTGCGAATTGAGCTCTATAGAGAGAGAGAAATTAGAGAAAATCTTGAAAGACAGCTTGCAGTTGAGCTTCAAAGCAGGAGTAAGTGTAACAAGTTTAATTACTCAGAAATTGTTATGTTGGAAGTATTTTAAATAATAATAGAAATATTCTCAGGGATAGATTTAAATTGTTGAAAGCAAATGACTAGCTAAAAGTAAAATATTATCCATAAGCCTATATTTATATTTTCTTTCTTTGTAATAATAATAATAAAAAAAAAAACCTCATGAACTAGATCTGCAATTGATCCAGTTGCAGATTTGGAAACATGGATATTCATTATGAATTTTGATAAATATACCTTTTATATGGAGAATATCATGGTTTCTTATATATGAAATAACTTGTGCCAGGCAGAGTGCTAGACTCTGAGTTTATAAGACTAATAAAGCTCAATGCTTGTCCTTGAGAGTTTATGTTTTAGAGTGCTGAGACAAACAATGAATTTAGTTTAGAATTAAGTGGCAAAAAAGTGTGGTTGTTGTGCTGTCAAGTTAGTTCCTACTCATAGTGACCCTGTATAGGGTTTCTGAGACGTGGCTGGTGAGTTTGAACTGTCAGCGTTTGAATTCAAACTTACCTTGTGGTCTAGTGCTTATCTTACAGTGTCACAACAGGACAAAACAGTGATGTATTGTAAATATGTTTGTAAGGAGAGCAAATAGTCTGTTTTGATCAATGGTGGGGGTTGGTGGTTGACGAATATCTTGGTGCTTACACATTAGCCTGAATCTTGAAGGATAATCCAGTTTAGCAAGGACATTAGAGTGCCTTAGTTATTTCAGCATTCTAAACACAGATATCAGTTTGCAAAGACTTAGAGTTAAGTAATCTCATACACAAGCAACTGTGTAGAGTATGTTATATGCTATCATTGTCAGTTTAGCAATAAAGAAGTGAATGTCAGGAAATGATGTAGAAAGGGGGCAGGTTGAGGCTAAATTATGAATTATGTTTTAACTATGGAAAGGGTTTGCTTGAGCTTTATTTTATAGGTGCTAAGAAACATTAAAATATAAATAAGGGCGATATCTAGTCTGATTTTAGTTTGATAAATTACTTTATTTTGGAGAATATGTTATGTTGTTCCTAAGTGCCATTGAGTCAATTCTGATTCATAGCGACCCTGTATAGGTTTTTTGAGAAGCTGCCAGAGGGTTTGAACCACTGATATTGCTGTTAGCAATCCAGTGCTTATCCTATAACACCACACCAGGACTCCTGGGAATATATTGGGTTGGGGAGGAGTTAATACTAAACTATAAACAAGGAGACAGTGGAAAAAGTTTTTTTTTCTCATCCAAGTAATAGTGAAAAGGACTAAATAAAAGGAGTAGAAGTAGGGATGGAAACAAATGGACTGAATTGAGAAATACTGAATTATTTATCTATAGAATTAACCCAACCATGGATAACCAAGTGGGTATCTACAATCACATATAATAAGATGAATTTATATATATATTTTTACAAAATGGGAAATTAAAAATAAAAAACAAATACCCTTACTTTAATCAATAATGTTCAATTTTTCTCACATTTACCACATGATACTAAACAGCAACCACCACTCATCTGTCAATTTCTCGTAGTTTGGTGGCTTTCATGTTGCTGTGATACTGTAAGTTATGCCAAAGGTATTTTAAATGCCAGCAGTTTCACCCATGGTGGACAAGTATCAGTGGAGTTTCTAGAATAAAATAGACTAGGAAGAAGGAGAGGGAGACTACTTCTGAATGTTTAACCACTGAAAACCTTATGAATAGCAATGGGACATTGTCATATATAGTGCCAGAAGATGTCTGTCAGGTTGCAGAGTACTGAAATACTAGAGATGCCTCCGCAAATAGAGTTAACCATAATGAGATGAATGGAGTAAAGCATTCAGGACATTCATTTGTTGATGGGGCACAACTCAAAATGAGAAGATAGAGTTGCAAATATCCATTAATCATCAGAACATGGAATATGCATAGTATGAATCTAAGAAAATTAAGTTGCAAAAGATGAATTGGAAAACAAAGATCAATATCATAGAAATGGTTATTGTTAAGTACTATTGAGTCAGTTCTAACTCTTATTGACCTGTATGATGTTTCCAAGGAGTAACTGGTGGAGTTGAACTACCAACCTTGTGGTTAGCAGTTCAGTGCTTATCCTACAGCGCCACACCAGGACTCCTATCCTAGAGTTTAGTTAGCTAACATGGACTGGAAATGCCCATTTTTATTCTTAACATCATATGGTTTACTATGCTGGGAACATCAAATTAAAGAGGAATGGCTTCATACTTATCATCAAAAAGAATATTTCAAGATCTATCTTGAAGTACAATGCTGTCTGTGATAGGATAATATCCATACACCTACAAAGAAGACCAGTGTTCTGGCTTGACACTGTAAGTAAGCACTTGACTTCTAGCCACAAGATTGATAGTTTCAAACTCACCAACCACTCTCTGGAAATTATATGCAGAGAAGATATGAGTCAAAACTGACTAGACAGCACTTAACAACAACAACAGAGAAGGCTAGTTCAGAATTATGTACCAACTAACAAAGCAAATGATGAAATTAAACAAACAATTCTACAAACTTCTTTGGGTTTCTATCATGGAGGGCGGCGGCTAAACGATGTGCGACAACTGCGCAGACCTGGTGGAGGTGTTAAATGAAACCCAGACCACACACGGAGTGGCGGGGTGTGAGGTGTCTGGAGACCAGGTCAACAGGGAGACGCTGCCTAGCGGGAAGAGACTGCAGGGGCCGGCCAGGTTGTCCTACTTACCCAGAAGCGAGAGTGCCGTCCTAGCCTAACCGTTGGATCGTGGCTTTGAGGCAGGATCGACCAACTCAGAGACCCACAAGCCCAGTCCAAAGGGTCTCACTACAACCCAGTCGCCCCTGCTGTGCTTCTGCCTCTTGATTGACATCCAAGGACTGAAATCCCGCCTTTGAGCCAGACTTAAGGGCCCTAGCACAAGGAGATTCCTATTTAACAGCAACCATGTAACCGCCACTTGTCTCTCTGGCATGCTGTGGTGGTTTGAATTGCTGTGATTCTGAGGGCTATGCCACCGGTACTTTAAATAACCAGCAGGGTCACCCATGGTGGACAGGTTTCAGATGAGCTTCCAAACAAAGACAGACTAGGAAGAAAGAGTGGCAAACTACTTCCGAATCGCTAGTCACTGAAAACTCTATGAATAGCAGAGAAACATTGTCAGATACAGGACTGGAAAGTGGGAAGGCACTCAGAATGCGATTGGGGAAAAAAATGTCTTCTCCAAGTGGAGAAAAGCTCACAGAACCTTCATTTGCTAATGGGCCACAAATCAAAATGAAGAGAAACAGCTGTCAAAATCCATTGAAAATCGGAATATGGAATGTACAAAGTATGAATCTGGGAAAATTGGAAGTTGTCAAAAATGAAATGGAATGCATAAACATCCATACCTTAGGCATTAGTGAGCTGAAATGGACTGGTATTGGCCATTTTGAATCTGACAACCA